CTTTGCTACCATAAAAAAATGATTAATATTTGATTTCCCTCAACCCCCTACCCCAACTTGCAGTCCATTGGACTCAATATTGCTCATGACTGAATATTACTCCTCTCTTTAGGGCACCAGCAAGCTTCCATTCCCACTACCACAGTGTTGCCTGGTAGCATGGCTGGTGTGGTAAAATCATCGATACCGAACATCCCAGTACGTGTTGCAGATCAATTTTACCCTGTAATGTTAATTTAACATTCTGAATGTTAGCAGCGTAGGCTACTATGTAGAAATGAGTACTACTATGGTTTTTGCTTCAATTTAATGTCCTGAATGCTCTGCTTAACAGTCTGAAAGTTAGCAGGGGAGGCATCCTCTTCTTCCTCTTCTTTAGATCTTGCCCTTCTTCCTTTTTTAGGCACGTGCAAGACTGAATGAAGATTGTGGATCATACTAGGATCTATGTAGTACTAGGCATACATCATAAATTTAAGATTCTGTATGTTACTAAATAAACATTTGGAACTTTATTTCTAACATCATTCAGAATGTTAAATTAAGATTGGGAACGCCCTGTGAAACATAGTAGTTTCAATTGATCCACAACGCATATAAAAACAACAATTGAACTTTTGTTAACTAAGGGGTTCAGAAGGTTAACTTAACATTCTGAATGTTAGCAACGTAGGCTGTGTAGAAATAAGTACTGCGTTTTTTGCTCCACTTTCATGTCNGTTTGAGAAGTGAAACAGGTGTTGCAATACCGAGGGCTTCTCTCTGGAGGTCGGAAAAAGTTGTGATACTGGACTACAGTAAACAAAAATATTTTCTGTACTGAGGAAGTACGTATTACTACGCGTACTACCACACAGCTGTTCAAAATGCTCATTTTGGCGTTTTTCGTTCGACTTTGGCGTTAATTTAGAGCTAGGGTTATTAATACCAAAATTCTTTAGGAATCAAGCAATCTGATTGGCTAATTAGACACACTAAAAATGCTACCATATGGTAAAGTTTTTTGTTGCAATCTGGTAGCATTTTTTGTCCACTTCTGGTAGGATATCTTTGCTACCATAAAAAAATGATTAATTGGTTGCGGCCGCCGCCTTTGTTTTTTTTTTAAAGGATGGCGGCGGCCAAAAAAACTTACTACGGTGCAAAAACTAGGTTATTGCTAGTAGAATGACTTGTTGTCACAATAATGACTGAATGTTTAAGTAAAAAATGAAATAATGTATTTTGGTAAAGGTACTAATTTATTTGCAAAAATTAATATACCGGGGTTTGTACAAATCTACACTAAAAAAATTATCTTTTTGTTTCCTCGGTAAGTCCAGGGCTGTAAGAATTCTTCAAAGTTACTGGCTACGCGCACTAAAGATAGTGAAGTGAAGTGTAGTGCACCGTAGCCAATATTTGATTTCCCTCAACCCCCTACCCCAACTTGCAGTCCATTGGACTCGATATTGCTCATGACTGAATAGTACTCCTCTCTTTAGGGCACCAGCAAGCTTCCATTCCCACTACCACAGTATTGCCTGGTAGCATGGCTGGCGTGGTAAAATCATCAATACCGAACGTCCCAGTACGTGTTGCAGATCAATTTTACCCTGTAATGTTAATTTAACATTCTGAATGTTAGCAGCGTAGGCTATGTAGAAATGAGTACTATGGTTTTTGCTTCAATTTAATGTCCTGAATGCTCTGCTTAACAGTCTGAAAGTTAGCAGGGGAGGCATCCTCTTCTTCCTCTTTTTTAGATCCCGCCCTTCTTCCTTTTTTAGGCACGCAAGACTGAATGAAGAATGTGGATCATACTAGGATCTATGTTGTAGTAGGCATACTACATCATAAATTTAAGATTCCGTATGTTACTAAATAAACATTTGGAACTTTATTTCTAACATCATTCAGAATGTTCAATTAAGAGTGGGAACGCCCTGTGAAACATAGTAGTTTCAATTGATCCACAACACATATTAAAACAACAATTGAACTTTTGTTAACTACTAAGGGGTTCAGAAGGTTAACTTAACATTCTGAATGTTAGCAACGTAGGCTGTGTAGAAATAAGTACTGCGTTTTTTGCTCCACTTTCATGTCCTGAATGCTCTGCTTAACAGTCTGAAAGTTAGCAGGGGAGGCGTCCTCTTCTTTCTCTTTTTTAGATCCCTTCTTCCGTTTTAGGCACGTGCAAGACTGTTTTGCTACCAAATGAAGAATGTGGATAGTACTAGGATCTATGTAGGCCTACTAGTACTAGTACACGATAAATTTAACATTTGGAATGTTAACACTAACTAACAGTCAAAACAATAATTTAAATTTCCAAACCCCTTCTTTATAGAAAGTTCAATTTTTATTTTACATGTAGTAAATGTAACCAGATATCCGTCACTTTTTCAACAACACTGGAGGAACTATCTTCCTCAAAGACWGTTTCTCAACTTTGCATCCAACTTTTTCAAACACTAGTACTACTACTATGGATGATGGTACACATGACATATTTTACTCAGAACACAGTAGTTGCAGATGTACTAGTCATCACTATAATCCCTTTTCTCAAAAATGAYATTGGAACATAGGGGGACTTTGCACAAACTGCACGTACTGTAAGTTCCTTTGTCACACATGTAACAAATAGTATTTTTGCTTCTAGATTTTGCAGGCACTATTGCCTTCAGATGATCTGAGTACTGTGATTGTGTGAAACAAAACCTTCAATTTGCCTTGTTCTTGGCAACAGTCTGCAAGTTGTGGTAATCCATCAAGTTCCAGTCTCAAAGGAAAGCTTTGTAAGCCCTCCTAGTAGTAGCCCTGCCACTCCAGATCTTGTCATGTAATTAAGTGTATTGTCTCAGACAAGTGTCACAGTTATATGCCTGCTCATCATCTTAGACACCTTCCAGTYGCTTGACCCAGTAATTATCACCCCAGAATAAAGGGARTGCCAGGTGATTGGTTGTAGAGAAATCTGTTCTTCCACCAATGGGTTTTGATTTCAGMWACACCACAGTAATTTACAAAGTGTGGATATCAAATTGTTTTGCAGATTCAARTTCTCAAAAAGTGAGCTCAGAAAACTCAGAATTAAAAAAGCTGTCCACATAAATAGTTKTGATTTGGGTGTTTYAATGGCTCTTGGTGGAAATTAGTTAATRGAGTGACAAGTTGCAAGTTGAGGTGTAAATTGAGGCTACAATTTTTCATCTGTAGACTCCTGTAGAATTTGAACTTTCTTCTGCTTCTCAGTAATCCCAATCATACTTCATTTTGAAATTCCTTTCCTCRTCACCATCTAAACTGAGGTTTTTCTATCAGAAACTGTCATGGATCAAGGATTTAACTAACCAGCAGCAAGTGTCCCAAATTYAATTGTGCCATATCGTATAGCGTGGGCCAAGCAAAAAAAGACRGTCCCAGTCGTACATTAGGAATGCTTAATATACATACATGTATATCAATGAATTTTTATCGTACGCCGTACTCCCCCACCGCATTAGAAAGCTCTTTGAATTTTCTTTTTAACCATGTGCTTATCATACTTAAGCGTCCGTTGGGGAAAAAGTTATGGCTGTTCAAGTGAGTTGAACCTCTCTTAATGCCCTACGTGTGTTTTTGTACTGTGCGTGGATAACTGGCCATCTAATTACTTGTACCAGGGCTACAGCTTGCACGTGCAAGCAAAACTATTTTGCACATGTGCAAAACTATTTCTTGGTCACATGAATGTGGGATTCAAAAATTCAGCACGTGCCCCACTRTACCGTTAGTACAAGTTAAATTTTTAATCCCGCGAGTCGTTACACAGTAATTAGATAGCCCGTAATCTATGACTGGGACCGTACATTAGCTGGCCAACTCTGTACGATAAGACAAAAAAGACGAGAACAAAGCATTCAAATTTTTCAAAATCACACCTTAGTTGGGGACAGCATAKAATTTAGTTTCTTTATATATCTTCCCATTAAAGTCACCAAGTAGAATAAGAATGTYAATAGACACCTCAGTGGAAATGAAACCTCTAATGGGAAGGGAAGTAGTCTGTGAGAGATAGTACTAAAGGAGCAAGTGTTGGTCCATATTGAACATGAAGAAGTCAATCAGAAATAGAAATAGACAAGCAAGTGATGTACAATGAACCCATTGAAGCAGTCARCCMAAATGTTGTCAACATTGTGAAATCAATGCTGATGATTCAGACCTGGATGATATGATTCTATTGAACTCAATTAGTACAAAGGCAACACTGYAYATGAAACTGCTATCTATTGGCCTGGTGGTGGTGATGAGAATATCCATGGTATGTTACTAATTACAGCAACAACTGTTGGAATGGGCTGTGTATCTGATCAAGGGAAAGAAGATCATGCAAGAAGACCCTGAAGTACCATTTCTAGTTGCTGAAAGGGATAAGTTGTATGTGGAAAGTTGGGCATTGCTGGGTTTGGGGTAATGGGGAGAGAGAAAAAATCCTAGTTGGAATGCAACTGTCAAAAGACATGCRCCAGAAACATGCAGACTGGTTTTTATCCTTCTGCTTGCAKCTCTTCTCAATCCATGTTTCAAGCCTTTGGACTTCACTGACATGGTGTTCCTAAATAATAGAGAGACAGAYCAAGATCAAAAGTATTGTTCCATGGCCAAGGAGGTAACTAGCACTACTACTGCAGGTGCTGATTTCAGTGATTTYATGATAWAGACCACCAAATTTTCAGAGGRGGCTGGGATTCCAGGCAACAAAAATTCTACTCTGTTACTACAAACAGGAAGCTACATAGGCAAGACTATAAGACAGCAAGACTGAATTTAATTCAACAAATCTTGTATATTGACATCACTGTGCAGTAGCCATTAAATACAAGAAAAATGTTCCAGGAACATCAGGATTTCCCCCCGTTGTGTTGTCAAATCAGATATGGTTGAGAACCCCTCTAAATTGTGACTTCAGGTAATATTATTGTTGGSAAGTATTTTCTRTAATAATAGTAAAACAAATAATTAAGTAATAATAGTTATGTATTGGTCTATTGAGGCATTGGCTGGGAACATCGTAGCAATGGTGAACACGCGTTTTTAAAACTACAAATAAAACTGGACTAGGCATATATCACAACCGATCGATTGCAGAATTGTCAACCTTGATCTTCAGCGTCTCGTTCAGCACCTAGGAGGCCCCACGAGCTTTGATTGCATCCATTAGTCCTCCTCTTCCTCCGTCACCACGACCCCGGCCTTTGATTGCATCAAGTAAACCTCCTCTTCCTCCATCTCCGCCACGTCCACGACCTCGACCTCGACCTTTGATTGCGTCAAGTAAACCTCCTCTTCCTCCCTCTCCGCCACGTCCACCACGGCCACGGCCCTGAATTGCATCCAACAGTCCTCCTCTTCCACCGCCTCTGCCTCTTCCACCACGGCCACGTCCTTGAATTGCATCTAACAATCCTCCTCTTCCTCCATCRCCTCTTCCACCACGGCCACGGCCGCGTCCCTGAATTGCATCTAACAATCCACCTCTTCCTCCACCTCGGCCTCCTAAAGACCGAACGAAATAAACAATTTAAGGCATGTTGCAGACAGTAGCAAGTAAAAACAAAGAAATCAGCTATGAACTTACCCTTGATGGCATCCATGAGTCCTCCTCTTGGTGGTCCTGGTAGAGGCGGACCTCCTGCTTCTTCCACAACATCTGGTTCTGATTCCATTTTTTTCTTCTTGATCTCGTCTTCAATATCTTTTCGAGTAAGGAGCTTGCGTGAACGAGGAAGTCGCTGCCAGCTTGCAGACTTGAGTGTCTTATAATTTCGTTCATTAAGTTCATCAAGAAAATTTTTCAACATTGAGATCGTTGATTTAATACGKGTATCGGCCATTCCCAGCTCTTGCAAACGATCTTTGACATACTTTGCAAAGACATCAAAAGATTCAATCACCTCCAAAGAGAGAGAACATTCTACAATTGATCTAGGATCCGGCTTCTCGTCGTTCGTCTTTTTCCCGGACAATTGCATTCCAGATCTACCACAAATATCAAGGATTGGTGATTTGATCTCACTCAACACATTGTTGATTTTCACGACTTCTTTCTTTTTGTTGTCGTCGGTCAATTTTGATACATCATTGCCGTTTTCGATCATTTCTTCTATCCAGGATGTCATTCCAAACTCAATCTTGTCCACAATCTCATCCATGCTTTCGCAACTTCCATTTGCCTTTGCAACTTGAAGTAATTTTCCCTTGTAGTGTTTCTTAAGCGTATCGCTACGTTCATTTGCTTTTTTCTCTTTCATGAGAGCTAGTGCCTCAGCCTTAGCCTTTGCACCTTGATCGTCGACGTCAGCCTTTCGCACCTCTGAAACCTCGTAGACAGCTTTGTCTGTATATCCATAATCTTCTTTATCGTAGTCGATTACTTTGTCAGCCTTCAGTGGGCATTGTTTACCGATCAACGGGCAGCCTTCATGTGGATTTGCCCTAGTAGCGTACGGGTGCGCTCCAGGAGGCCCATATTGAGCAACATGGCGATCCCAAATGGCTACATTTTCTTTGAAATTATCTTTCATCATCTTGTACCAAGTCCATTTTCTTTCTGTCATCTTTTCGGCTTTTTGAGCAAACCATTTTGGGCCACAAGTTTTTAAATGTTCATAAACAGCCCGACGTTCTGTCAGAGTCAAACTGGCGACACGCATGTTCTCAAGCGTTGCAGGGTGCATGCTTACGATGTCATCAGGGTTACGTCGTATAAGCTGGAGAACGTTTGATCGTTTGAATTTCTTTGCTATTGCTTTTGGAAGATATTTACCATTTGGTGTCGGTTCATTTGTCAGCTGAGCTTCACTCATATTTCTGACTTCAACAGGCATGTGGCGTCTGAGTTTCTTCAAGGCTGCTAGGTTAGCTGGACCGTTATCATCCTCCCATTTCTTTTCAATTCGAGCCTGCTCAGCTAAGTATTCATCGGTAATCAACATTGCAGAACTGTACTTATCCATTTCTTGTTCCAGCTTGAAATATTCCTCACGAAGTCTATTCTGTTCTTCTTTGTCCGGATGTGTTACATCACTACCGCCGATTTCGTTCATTCTCTTTCCAATTGCTTCRACCTTTTTCACGCAAATATCATAGTCAATGTCTTCCGCAATCGCAACACCGGCGGCTGCGAGCTGTTTCTCAAGTTTCTTCTGCCGCTTTTCTGCAGTTTCTAGTTTTTCTAACAACTCCTGCATTTTTTCAGCGTCAAATTCGCCACCCATTGAAGACATCTGGGCAAGTACTTCCGCAACACTTGAAGAAGGGGCTGTCTTCTTAGGAGGGCGATCAGGTTCTCGTGGGGATGATGCTGGGAGCAGGTTCTTCCGGATAAAATCATCTTCCATTTCCTTGTCTTCAGGAAGGGCTTGGAGGAGAAATCGAGGTCGGGATCCTTTCTCATTTTTGTGTAATTTTTTAACCTCGTCTGATAGATTATCCATTGATACAATATTGGCGCCAGAGATATCGACATTTTCATTCCCTTCACCTTTGACTTTATTCGGACTTGGATTTTCTGGTCCCATRAAAATGATGTATGGCGATACCTCATCCTTGAGTTGGTCTTTTTTCACTAGAATTAAGTCATCGCCCGGATCTCCTCTAACTTGGTCTTTTGGTACCAGAACATAACCCTCAGGGATACCATCGCGGGCTTTGTCTTTGGGAATCGCAACCATTCCTTCCGGAACTAATTTTTCCGCTTGCTCTTTCGGAACAAGTACCATTCCATCTTGTATCACGGCAGCATCCTTCTGAACAAGTGCCATTCCCTGGGGGACGGGGGCCGAAGCAGCTACAGCTGCTGCTGTCAAGTAAGTCGAGCGACTAGCTAGAGGTTCCTCACCTGCCAAGACAGAATCTTGTATATTTTGGGCTACACCATCCACATTCATTTTCTGGAGCACCGCACCATCTGGCATGCCCATCTTCAACATCTTTCGATATGTGGCTGCGATCTCTTCGTCCTCTGAAGTGAGGGCTGATACTTTCTGTGGAGATTGCGCAGGTTCTTCCCCTGCTAAGACGGAATCCTGTATGTGTTGGGCTACCCCTTCAACACTCATTTTTTGGATCACCGCACCATCCGGCATGCCCATCTTCAACATCTTTCGATATGTGGCTGCTATCTCTTCTTCCTCTAAAGTGAGGGCTGACACTTTCTTTGGAGATTGCGCAGGTTCTTCCCCTGCTAAGACGGAATCCTGTATGTGTTGGGCTACACCTTCGACACTCATTTTTTGGATCACCGCACCATCTGGCATGCCCATCTTCAACATTTTCCTATAAGTTGTAGCAACTTCCTCGTCTTCMATGGAAAGGCCTGAGACCTTTCTTTCTGGTTGAAATGGTTGGTTCGACCCGGAGAAAGTAGATGGTGCTTCTTTCGAAAGCATAGATTCTGGAAGCCGTTGCAATGAAGATTTACCTGTAATGTCATCTCCTGCTACCGTCGCTGCACTGCTTGACTTTGTACTTGCCTCGTTTTTCGAAAGCATCGCTGAAAGCGAGGGCTCTCCTTGATCATTCTCTGCTTTCTTACGGGCAGCAAGGGCGCTCCTTCGAATTCGCCTCACTTTTTTGCCGTCAGGTCTAACATAGATTTCGTACTGTTCACCATGTGCAGAAGTAGCCAAAGACTTTGAAGTTGCGGCACTTGATACTTTTCTTACTCTCCGAACCCTGCCAAAAATGGAAATGAGGTTAGGATAGATTCAGATGATAACTAGGACGAAGATAGTGAGATCATACTTACTTTTTGCCGTCAGCCCTAATGTATATTTCACCTTCAACCCTACCACCTGCAACGCTTGCACTAGAACCTTTGTTTTGAGGAACCTTCGACTGGAGATGAGCATCTAAGGAAGAATCGTTCCCTGAAGCTCCTTGATTTGAATCTTGGGGTTTTTTCACTCTCCTAATTCTTCGTACTTTTTTACCGTCTGGCCGCGTTATAATTTCAACTTGGTCTCCTGGTTGCGCCTGAGTGATTTTCTTCACTCGCCGAACTGTTCAGTATGCATGTGAGTTTACAGTATATATTCTTGCAATTTAAAGAGACAAAATCGAAGAAGTAGAACCCATCTTACCTTTTTTGCCATCTTCTCTTATGTAAATCTCTCCTTTCATTGAATCGTCTTTCCTGGTTGCAACTTGGTTTGCAGCGACTGGTGTACTCTTGGTCAGATCTGATWCTCGGTCTCCTGCAAAATCATTCAAAGATTTCTGTTTTCTCAGGTCTGGCGTTACAGAGGGATTAATGCGCCCCCCTGCTACAGTTGCAGCGCTACCTTTCTGCGGCGTTTTGGTTTGCGATTCAAGAAAACCCGCCAACTCGTCCGAACCGTCGGAAGGACTAGGCTTCGTCTTTCTAATTCTACGAACTCTCTTTCCGTCTGGCCTAGTAATAATTTCAACGTTTTCGTCTGTAGAAGCGCCAGGAGAAGGTGCAGAATCTCGCTTTTTCTTTACTCGCCGTACTGAAAAGCGAAGAAAAGGGCGTGAGTACGTACTGCTCATTCAAATTTTCAATCGTTAGTTTACTATAATGCGTGAACTATACGTTTCTTACCTTTCTTGCCATCGGCTCTGACGTAAACCTCACCCGTCAACGATTTCTCTTTACTAATAGCGATCTGATCACCTGCCACTGAATTGCTTCCGCCAAATTTCTTTTTGATCGATGATTGATCTTTTTGGAGGAATCCGCCGAGAGAATTGTTTTTCTTTTCCTCAGGGGGAGGTTTGGAAGCTGTCTTTCGTATCCTTCTTACTTTCTACTCAAAAAAAATGGTGTTAGATTTCTGAAAGGCCGAAAGATTGAAAATACAGGATAAATTTCACCTACCTTTCCATCAGGACGCACATATATTTCCGTGTCGGATTTGTCGGAAACTCCAGGATGCCCACGCCCAGGATTTGGATGAGTGTCTCCAACAACTGTTGCAGCTCCACTTGCCGTGGGCTTTGAAGCTACTTCGGTATCTAGAAACCCCGCGAGCGAGTTTGGATCATCATCGCTTGGTTTAACCTTTCTCACTCTCCGAACTTTCTTTCCATCGGCTCTGATGTAAATTTCACTGTCTGCGTAACCAGCAACAGAATGGCTACCAGAGAACGGTTTTTTTCTTGGAGCAGACGTTTTATCGCTGTTAAAAAATCCTGACAAACTTCGCGTCATTTCTTTTTTTGGTGGATTGGTGCTCGACTCTGAGCCCTCTGCTTCAGACCTTTCGGCGGCCATCGATTGCGTAGTGCTTTCTACTGGTGGTCTCGGTTTGGTCTTCCTTATTCTACGAACTTTCTTTCCATCAGCTCGTGTTATGATTTCGACAGTTTCATCAGATACTAACGATGACTTCTTAACTCTTCTAACTTTCTTTCCATCAGCTCTGACATAAATCTCTSCWGTCAAAGATGACTCTCTACYAACAGCTAACTGGTCTCCAGCTACAGAAGCGCTGCCTCGTTGCTTTTGTTTCGGATCATCTGTAAGGACTCCCGACAACGAACTATTCTTCGATGTAGATGGCGAAGCTACAGATGACACGGATGATTTTTTCACTCGCCGAACTTAGATTGAAGACAGTATTGATTACCACGACGAATTTGATTTAGAAAACAGAATTTGTCATCAAACTTCGAAGGCATTTTTATTCTCTCTGTCCAAGTTGTCCATTCAAGTACTCACCTTTTTTACCATCGGCTCGAATATAAATTTCACCTTCACTATACCCACTCATCTTCCCACTAGAATCATTGTTCTCCGTTTTGGATAGAAAATTGCCGTCTTGGTTCAATGGTCGGGAATGCAATGAACTGGATCTTTTCCTCCTTTCTGCAGTTCCTTCTACGCCTCCGACAGAGCGGCTCCCGCTCATCCTCGACTTAGAAGATTCGCCCTCGCCGTTGCTTGATAGGAATCCAGATAAAGAAGCTGCCCTACTCAGTGATTCACCGTGTAGCGAATTGGACCTTCTGTGATTTCTTTTAACACCGTCTCCAGGTCCAACTGAGCGGCTTCCACTCATCCTTGACCTAGAGCTAYCCTTGTCTTTTTCTATGAACCCCGATAATTGATCCTTCTTGCCTAATGAGCCATGGGTCGAACTTGATCTTCGGACTCTTCGGACTCTTTTACCGTCTGCTCTGGTATAAATCTCGCCCTCGACTGCCTTGCTGGGAGGCGGAGTTGTACCTCCAGAGGACCCATACTGATATCCATCATCTCCATCGTCAACATCCTCACCCGACAATTCCGATGAAGATATGATACCGCGYACTTCCTTCAAGTCTCGAAAGGCGTCTTCCAAATCGGTGTAATTTGTGTAATCTCTAATTCGAGCCTGGGTTGCTGAATTCAGAGAATCTACTTCGCCCCCCTCTAAGGATTCGCAAATGCCAACCCATACAGGGAATTCTGTGCTGGGTTTAAGGGCTGAGCTTCCCTCTTTTTGAACGAAGAAAAAACGATGTTTATTGAATGGGTGCGAGACTTCAAACTGCTTGCCGTGCTCTACATAGACGTGGGGCAGGCTTCCCTCGCGGAAGGCATCCCTCAGGGCCGCTTTCGATGACAGGCCGAGGAATTGAATGGCATCATCTTCCGTAAGCCAGGCTCCTTGATGACATACATCTAGTAATGATGACATGGTTGATACAACTTCCTCATTTCTCTTTGGWGTACCAGTAAGGTAATCAGATATTGTTATTAATAACCGTCACCCCAATGAGAAAACAAACACGTACAGTACAACAAACAAGCATCGATGAGGAGATGTTTCGTCTCCATGCGAATGCGTAGCAAACCATCGTGATTGATTTCGGTCTCGAGCAGGCATCTACCGTTGCGTTAGTCCAAAAACACTGGCACAATACCGTACGACTGTCATAAGCCTATGCCGAAACTGAAGGTGCGCGCTGTTTCGTTCGGGTGAGTCCGCATGTACCAATAAACCGGCCCAATGGGTTTGGTGTCTAAGACTTCGACTACGTGTAGAAAATGACTACAGAAATTTTTTWAAAAACTTTCTTCGTTCTTTTTACGGCAGCCGGCATGCTTTTCTGAGTGCAACCACGGGACTACGGTAAATTTCCGTCAAAACTTACTGGCTAGAACTTSAGCGAGACTCCTTAGACCGTACCGTACGTATCGGAGGTATCCATGGTACCACAGAATGAGGTTAGAGACTGAAACCTCTAAATGAGGCCGGGAGAACCTTTTACTACCTGTAGACTTTCAAAGCTACCACAACAAGAATTTAGTTGTTTGTACTCCTCCAAGCCAATTTGTACCACCACTACTAGTAGAAAGTTTAATCTCTTTCAGTGGCAGCAACAAAGAAGAAGAACAAGTAATGCTACTAGTACTACTATTCCTCATGGTTTTAGTATGTTATTCTTGCTACACATCATGATTTTCATTGTTAGTAGCTTGTTGGTCTTCACCTTCATTGTACTATTTAATTTTCGTTTCAGGGGGAGTCAAYGGGGACTAAACCAGTGGCAAAATGATTATTTGAATTGTTCAAGCTACACATATTACTGTACTTGTTATCGTGGCCTGGATGGCCACCTGGGACATTGCTAGCACTGCCATCCATTTTGAATTGTGGGTTACCAGGACTATCATTATTTGGTTTGTGATATGCAATGTGCGCAACAAAGAAGATAAGGATAAGCTTCATGAGAGGGAARCCAAAACAAMATCCATGTCAATTGAAAATTGGATGTTCATAATAGTATTTTTTAACATCGAACTTAAATTATCATTAATGGCTCTCGTGAGTTACATTATACATTTAAGACGTTATCATAATTGTTTTTTATCAACCGCAAAAATATAACACAACACATTTTCCATTCACTGCACCCCACAATCCCCAGCCCGATTGATCCCATGACTTTTGCCCCAAACTCAGAAATTTCCTGGCTTGCAATACTACAGAAGCTTGCTTTATTTCCTGGATCGTGTGCTTCTWGCTTTGGAAGTGGAACGGGTTTTCTTGGCGGGTGGAACCGCACTCGTGGAACGAGTGCGTTTCTTTGATTCGGGTTTCTTCGTGGGTGAGGTTTTGGACTTGGCCGATGTGGTTGCCTTTTTCGCGGGAGATTCTTTCTTGGTTGCGGCCTTCGGCTTCGATACCGGTGTACTTGGCTTCTTCGCAGGAGTTATTTTCTTTGCTGGGGTTGTTTTTTTGGCTGCGATTGTCTTTTTCGCTGGTGCTGCAGACKTTGCAGGAGTTGKTTTTTTCGCCGCAGCCGTTTTCTTTGCTGGGGCTGCCTTCTTGGCCGGTGTAGTTTTCTTTGCATTGGCCTTGCCTTGAGCCTTCTTGGCAGGAGTTTTCAAATTGACAAGAGGCTCATCATCGCTATCTACAGGGTCTAYCTTCTTTTCCACCTTCTTTGGGGCCGTGGTCTTCTTTTTAGATTCTTTGGTAGCCTTTTCTTTCGGTGCCTCATTCTCCTCCACTTCAGTTTTTTTTCTGTTCGGCTTTCTTGGACGCACGTACTTGAATTCGTTATTGGCGCGAATGATGGTAAGTTGACACTTCTTTTGGTCTTCTTCCGTCCATTTGTCTGCTTTGCTCTTGAGGTCACGTGTTGTCAGGCAATTGTCAAATGCTTTTTCCAGAAGCATGAGTTCCTTGGGATTGAATGTAATCAAGTATTCTTTGGGTTCGTCTCCAGTTGGCGCCTTGGTTTCGGTTGGTGCCTTGGTTCTTCCAAGTCCAGTTGCAGCTGCCATGCCCGTCGGGCCTTGAACGAGYACGGGGCCTGCTCCTGGCACTTGTCCATCCCATTTGGCTAGAACTTGTTGCTCGAATACAACGTTTCTCATATAGGAGTCGGCAACAAATGGACTTTCGGGAGCATTGGTTTTGATCTGGAGCACCCGTCGGCGACCGGTGGCACTATCACCGTACACCGTCGTGCTAGTATGAATGTGCATGATTTTCTCTTTCTTGTCTTTGTTCACGACTGCCTGTTCGTATCGCAAGTGATCCCACAAACTATCAATGGGTTGCAAGACACCGGATGCTGCCAGTTCGGATTCGGTTTTCTTATCATCGATTGGAGCAGCTGAAACCCCAACATGAATTTTGGGAATTTCAGACAGCTTCTTCGGAAGCTTGTTGATAGCATCGTCCAAAAACACCAGCGTCTGACATCCATCGCCATAGGCAAGCATGGCCATGTCCGTTTTTGGATCACCTCTGCGAGCAATTTTAACAATGAATTCGAGGTTGTCTTCTACACACTTTCGCGCCCACTGTGCTACTGTATACACTCCACCTGCGACGTTGAATCTCGGAACTGTGCTTCGGACGGCAAGAGTGGAGTTGCTAAGCTTATTTTTTTTGGAGGGTGCTAGTTTGGCGGTTGCCACCATTGGCATCTGGTTCATGTTGCTTGCTTGCATAGCCATCATTGACGGCATGAAATTTGAGTATCCGTTCTGCATCTGAGCTGCGGTTACATTACCAGCTCCCGCATGTTGTTGTTGCTGCTGCTGCTGATGCCAAACCATCGAATTGCTTCGTTGCTGGGCAAATGCTGCGGCCTGGGCTTGCTGCTGATGAGCTTGTAGCTGCGCTGCCCGGTTSTGCTGGGCCAAAAGTCGAATGCCTTCCATGGCGTTTTGGCACTACAAATACGGTTCAAGTTCTACGTCAATATGACTACAGAACGCAAATCAATCTTCAATAATGAAGAGTACGATACGTATTTGTTCGCAGGTTGAAATTTGTATTCTAGTGATTTGAATGCAAATTTCGCATGATGTTGTGACGTCGTGACGGCGGAACGTTGGTAGGTATMTGAAAATGTTAAGAAATATTGTTTCTAGGGCAACTCTGTTCAATATGGATGTGATAAAAAAGTCGTGCAGCCTCCCGAAARAGCGTTTGAATCAGTAATTCTACAATTTACTTAGGGCGTTGATATGGGCCCATTTCAAAGGACATACCATCATTAGGCGGAGAATTTGAGGATAACATGCACAAAAACTRGCGCGTTTCCTTATCCCCTCGCTTTCTTGACAGAGTACGAGGATATCGTACGCACCGAACGCTACGAAGTTTTTGGACATRCAGTAATACCGCACGCACGGGAAATGAATATTTTAGTCGCATGACGTAGTAGTATTAGTACTACTACTGCTGCTGTCTAATAGTAGGACTATAGTACTACTACTAGTAGTAGTACTGTTGTATAGTAATAGTACGATACTACTATGTCACTTAAACCATTTTCACGGTTACATGTCCTACTATAGTCAAGCCAAATGCAACTTACATCCAGCTACACAGCCCTCCTTCTGGATGGGACTACTAGTAGTAGTACTCTTCTTGGAGCACCAAGAGGCAGCAACCACCACAATACTGAGGTCCTCCTCGTGAAAGCCCCCCCCCCCCTGCGCCAAAAGAACTTCACAAACATCTTGGTCATCAAATAAACTGCCAAGCGTCWCATCAAATACCACACAATAGACCAATTTCATCTTGAGTTTGACTATTACAATCGGGTAAAAAATCTGCAGTCTCCTAAACCCAGAGGTGGATCTTTGTTCACAATTGGAAAAAGATRTAATACAGGTTTGCCATACATGAGATGGGATGCAAAGGACAACCAACAGAGAAATTCTCCCTTGCTTACRAACAGAGATAATTGATTTTTGTGCAAACAATGTGCTGGTGGAAGCAGTTGTCACAAAGGGGTTGAAAGGATTCACTGGTGAACACAAGCAAGTGGAATCATCAGCAACAAATGAAAAACATTTATTCTGTGTACACCCCTCTGTCAAATCTGATTTTGGACAAGAATGCATCTTGTTGTTTGAATTGGCATATTTTGTGCTCAATCTTCCACTAACAAAAGGGGTGTTTATCCTGTTGATGCTAACAGTAGTCTAGTCCTGTTCTAAAGCGCTATCTTTGCCAGATACTGTCTTTTCTTGACATCTACAGACCAATCAGTACCCACTCAGACAGGGGCTTTGACATCCACAACAAAGGTTACTATGCTGCCGTTTATTGATTTCTGGGAGAACAACAAGAAATATTTGGTGGACACCCAGTTTTTGCAATATTTTGTTGAAATGGAACATGTTTCTCCATCCAAAAAATTCCTATTGCTAGTCAATTTTGCTATCCTGGTGTCAATTAGCTGCTGGCAAGGTTTTTAACCAAARCAGGGTATCAGTGAAACTGAGAGGAATGCCATCTTCACTTTTGGTGGACAACTGGTCTTTGCAACAATACTGTTGCAAAACTGAACATGATTCACTGCCTACTACTATGAAGAACTATGTTCATGAGAGATTTTTCTCATCTCAACAACTGCCCCTTGGTACTGTTGCAGTCCAAAGTTTTTTCAACAGAGAATGGTGTTTCCAGTTATGTTGGTCTCACCATAGTTGCAATTTCCTGTCATTACCTGCATATTGCATTAGGGGAACAAGGTATGCTCACAACAATTAATCCACTCCGACTAAATTGGCATACAGCTAGGTCAAAACCTAAGTGATTCCAAATTGCTAGTAGTCTGTCAAACCCATTGTTAATTAGCCTAATGGTCAATGTATTACATTTGCACAATCAAGTAATCTATTTTGGTCATCTAATTACCTTTCAGCTTAGTCCATAGTAAGTAGGGGTTGTCTTGCCCTTTTGATGACCACTTTGTCCTTGCCGGCCAGAGCAACAATGTCTGTGTGCCAAATGGTACTTGAGGAATAGAAATCCAGTTTTCTTTTCTTGGATAAACGTCTTCTTGATTCCATAAACACCTCCCAGGTCATGGTCTTGTTCTCTCTATATTGTTTAGGATTCATGTCAAGATTTTCTGTATTCATCGTGTCAATACCAGTGTCTTTGTTTTTCAAATTCATTCATGTATATGCACTCCCTTCCTGTCATTACCCTCCATAAATGATAAGCAGTCAAAATTTTTCATCCATCTATGCCCYATGTGACGMCAAKGTATTCTAATTCATCTTTTYGGAAATCAGAGTGACCCCACCTTACCTCTGAAAGCKTGGGGCGGTAACCAGTTCCCCCCCCAATGGGTACATTGTTTAATCAGCTTCCTAACCAAAGGAGTTAGTGTGTTCCATTTTTTCCTTGAATACATGCAACCTGTTGCATCCAATCTTTGTCAGAGGTCTGTGCTTGATCTTGGGTCTATCAATGTTGTTGTAACTCTCATTGTCTGCTGAAGTGGTCAGTTCCAGATAAGCACACAATATGTAGCAAAGAAATATGCACATGAAGCCACCAACACCAATTTTTCTTGAKTATAGTAGGTTTGGTGAGATGACACCATTCCTTTTTTGGATTGGACCACTCACTTTATTCCAAATTAGGCGGCCGTTGTTGTTGAAGTTTCTTGTTCTCAACCCCACCTTGTCACAGCATCTTTTGCTACTGGTTACACTGAAATCAGGGCATCCACAAAGCATGAAGCGTAGGATGATACCTAGTGCCCATGCATAATGTTATTTGGAACTTTCAACACATTAGCCTTGTTGTTGAGAGATTTTACAAAATCTACAACCCAAAGTCAGATTTTCCTTCCCTCTACTTTGTCAAATTGTCCCACGCTGGTGCTTTAATTGGCTTGTCAGTATGCATAGTAGAACCTGGTTGTGCCTCTACAAAACTCCTTGGAGGGAGGTGCTACCCCTTAGAGTAGCTAGGAGCATTCTTCTCCATTGTCAGGTGAAGCTATAGTTCTGGCCAACATAGTGCCTCTTCAACTTCACGAAGTTAAATATAATATTAAGATTTTTTTGGATCATCTCAACTTGCAGTCCTCCTCAACTCATGGGTGAGAGATCAGGGAGATGATTGTCAAGATCATGATGCTGTTATAGTATTTTTTTACTATTACTTGGTACTACTATTACTACCACCAGTAGTAATTCCTGCTGGCACCTCCTGCAAGAATGATGATGATGCTGGTTGTGATGGAAGGAAAACCACTAGTATTTTTCTTTCTTCTGCTACAAAATACTACAGGTATAGTAGTAGGCAAGGTGGTTGAGAAACATAAACGCAATAGTGTAATAGACAAACATAATGGCCTTACCTACTAGTAACAAGAAACTGTAAGGGTACATTGTTGTTAAAGTTCTTGCTGTCATATTAAAAGAAGGAGGGAAAAACTGAACAAGACCCTAAAAACATATGGTGCCAACCAAAACAATGAGGCAGGAATAAGTACTTCTCCTTATCTTCTGGATCAGCGTGTTGAAAGGACTCCTCCAGCATGTTTTGATTACTACTACTAGATGCTCATTGGTGATGAGATACCACTACTAGCATTTGATTTTTTGATGCATCATTTATGATTGTGCCTTCACCAAAACTCCTTCTTGGATGTAGGTGTTGCCCCTCAGACCAAGTAAGAACATTCTTCTGCTCAGAAGATATGGTCCTGCTGGCTGTTATAGTGCCTCTTCCAGTAGTGGTCCTGGCTGTTAGTATAGTGCCTCTTCCAGTTCACATGATAGTTAAACTTTAACTATAATGTATAAAACTTGAGGTTTTTTAAAAATGTTTTAATCATTAGTAGTCCTTTCAAGCAAGTTGAACATAATTAATGACAATTAATAGTAGTTTGTTCATGGTAAGGCAATAAATGAGATATATTCAGACTTGATAAATTCAATCCTGCCCTGAGCCCAGATGGCAATTCTGATGAGGATCATAAACACTTGCCCACCACCCTGGATGTAGACACAATTGCATGTAGTAGATACTGCTGATTGTGAACACAATGTGAAAATTATGACCCCCACTGCTGCCTGGAAAGATAAAAGTATTGATCAAGCTAGTTATGAAAATCTTTGGACATCAAAATATTCAAAAATTAGTTGTTGTATGAATCAGCTGTTCAGCCTGAAGAAATTAGCAATTTCACTGCAGACTGTGGATAGGCTGCTAATGCAATTTCTCCTAGGGCTCTTGGCAACAATGCAATTCAATTCAATTTTTTTAATGGTATTAGATGACAGATGACAATGATGAGGAGTCAAAAACCCCACCAATGACAAAATCTCAAATCTGAAGAAAATGAAGAAAAGCTTAATATTTTATATCACCTTGTGGATTAGAAGAGGGTCAATGCAGAAAACACCTACTACTAC